ACGGACGTTTTCTGTCAACTTTTTTGTGTTAAAAATGTAATATGCCAAGTAGAGAATGGGAATCTAAAACTAAACATATGAGCTAAGCTAATAGATCAGATCAATAAAAGATCTATGTGTTTAGTATTTTTTTTTCCATTTCTCTACAAATTATTATTTTTGCAACATAATATTATTAATTATGATTAAATAATCACTGCCAGCCTTTATTTTATGAGTTATAATTTCCCTTTTTAAATATTTTTCTATAGCGTACGTAAAATGGTGTTTGTGTAAAAGTCTTGTAAATATTTTTCTATTATTTTATTATAAATTTCTTCTTTTAAATAAAAACTACTTGGAATTTTTTCTTAAAACATCTTCCTTTTTAACTCTTTCAAACTATCTGATTTCTCTCCGCACAATGGCACTATAATAAAAAAACAAAAAAATAAAAAAAAATACAAAATCAAAAAACACAAAAAAATATAAAATACAAAAATACAAAAAAATATAAAATTTAAAAAAAAAACACAAAAAAGAAGGGAAAATATATATATATATATGTATATAGAAAAATATATATAAAACGATGGTAATTATTGTAACACCTTTCTTTATTTCATTATTATTGTAACCATAGTGACAGCTTTTCGAAAAAATGTAAACCACTAAATTTGTAAAACCATATATTTTAAAACTGTAATTATATAATGTAACCATATAATGTAAACTGTAATAAACACGTTCAGTTAATGTAACTTTATAAAATTTTCTAAATAAATATTATTTTATAAATAAAAAAATAAAAAAAAAAAATCTACATCAATATTTATTTGCTAAAAGTTGGCGAAAAAGAGAATAAAATTTGACTAGTTTTATCTTTTTCCGCTGTGGAATTGCCCATATATAAATTTCATTTATTTTGATAAGTGAAGTCAAGTTAGGGAAGCAAAATATATATAACTTGCGCTTACTTAACAAATAATAAATTTATAAACACCCTTGGCGCCTGCTTTCAACAACCATTTACGTTTAAGACGCTTTTTTGTTTGAACATTTTTCCTGTGAAGTCAGACGAGAAAACTTTAGTTTTTTCGTTAATGCATTTTTCTATTTACCGGAACAAATACAGATAGAGATAAGTTAGATAGAGAAAAGATAAGTTAGAAATAAGGTAAATAGAGAAAAGGTAGATAGAGATAACAGATACAAAAAGAGATAAGGCACAGATACAGAAAGAGATAAGGTAGATAGAGAAAAGTTTCCTGCTTTACTCGTTACATGTTAGATAGAAAACAATTGCGCCAAGGCTTCACAATACTACAATTAAACTTATAGGAAAAAAACGGGTTTATAGAAAAAATGAGAATCCGATTAGATCAGTGTTTTTCTATAAATCCGGAAATTTTATTATAATTAATAAAAATAATAATGTGACCGTATAAAATTTGATTTGCTAAATAACTCTCTGAATTGCTAAAACAAATGTTTTTTATACGCCCGTGTTGAAAATGTAAGATACTTAGGTGTTAAATTTTATACTGCTGGTTTTGGTGAGCAGTCTGACATCATACTGAAATAGCCTGTTGCCGAGGGCGTCAGTATATATCGCGAAGTTAGAATTATTTTGTTCTATCTCCACATTTTTTTGTTTCGAGATAAAACGATTTAAAAAATAAAAACTTTAGGAGACGGCATATAAAAAGATTTTTATTACTTATGTTTTCTCCGAAACTTAGGTTTTAATATAGTAGAAAAACATTATTTTGAGGTACATTACACAATTAATAACTCATTTTTTTCAAAAAGTGGAGATAGAACAAAATAATTCTAACCTCGCGATATATCGACTGACAAATAGCCTGATTAGCAGCGGAGTGCTGCTACATCAACTGAGGGTTCGGCATGGGACACCAATGTTTACTTTTATTATTCTTCGTTATTATTTTTTTTTTTTCTAATAATTCTCAAAATAGTGTAACAAAAATATGGTATTATTTTGTTACATAAATATTCTATAGTAGATATATATATACATATGTGTATATATATATATATATATATATATATATATATATATATATATATATATATATATATATATATATATACAATCCATTTTAAATTTAATTATATAATATATAATTAAATTTAAAATGGATTTTATACAACAATAGCAATTGCATCAGAAAAATAGAAAAATAGAAAGAAAATCCAAAATATTTTATTCTAATTGTAGTAGTTCCTGAGATAGTGACCAGCAAAGTCAGTTAGGGTATGAATAGGTCAACTCGATAAGCTTTGTACAACCAGGCGTTTTCTAATGTTGTCAGATAAGATTCAGATATATTTGCAATTGTAACAAAACCTTTGAGGCTCAGTGTGTCATATTCATAAATTAACCATTTGTGGACCAACTTAATGGCTCTTAATGTAAGATTTTGTAGGTCAACTGAATTTCATATCACCAAGAAACTAGCGCAAACTTGCGTAGACAAACAGCGTCAAATAGAAAATGAAATTTTTGATTTGCATCCGATGAATATTGAATTGGTCAATGGAAAGTTTGTTATTATTGATTTAAATTTTATTTTGTGAATGATTGACGGAAATATTTTAGCAATTACACGTTCATGGGATATCTCTGTTACATGCTTAGATAAGATTTCTAGAGTGTTTTTTGCATATGTCATACCGACTTGAATTCAAAAAATGGAGAATAAGCAAAGAATTTAAGACAACGTATGGCAATAAAATGAAATTTATCCAGCAATTAATATTCAGAAGAAAGACCCAAAAAAACTAAGAGAACGGAGTATTAGAGATTGATATTATGAGACATTTATTAAAAGATTTAAAAATGTTTTAACTGCAATAAGAGGACAGAAAACATACTGTAAAACAGTATATCCTCGGTATTTTGATTTGTATAATTGGAATAAAATGCCGTGTACAGTTTACAAAGTTTTTGCACATGGAACAGAAATAAACTCACCAGTTTCCTTTGGGGGGTTTTATCCAATGAAGTGTCTAAAGGCTAAAATAAATATTACAGACGATATTTTGAACTACATACTCGTAAATGTTTGAGAAAAGCAAATTTTAAAATTGTCTGTAACCGTATAATGAAATCCTCAGATCCTTTATATCAGTTCTATCTCCTTGGACTCTTGACGGACGCAGACGGACGCAGAAAGTTGTGCTCAAGATTTCAGAAGAAGTAAAGAGTTTTTTAATTTTAGAAGTAGACAATAAGGAATCAATGAAACTGTCAGAACTAGAATCATCAGAGTTAGAACCATCAAAAGCAACCGAAATTATTAAGTTAGAAGATGAAATAATGAACGAGTTACCAGTTTGATTATTTAGGAGTGAAATAAACTAAAGGTTAAAATTTTGAAAATTTATAACTTTAGCAGAATTTTTTTTTAAAGTAAGTTTTCCTTTGCGTTTCTAAAGCAATTTCAAAATCTAATGCAATTTCAAAAGATATTTTTAAATATTTTCTAATCTTTTTAAAAATTAAAACAAGCTTGTAATCTTTTATAGAAATACTAGTGTTCTCTTAAGTATTCATGGCCTGTCACACAGTTTCCTTATTAGGTCTGTGAGGGTAATAGGTTATTTTTACAAGTAAGCTGCTCCAACAAAATAATGTTATTAATAATAAATAATATAATCAGTGGTGTGGCTAGTAGTTCGAAGTCGTCCACTAGAATAAAAAACAAGTCATTAGTGCCCAAGAAAGCTTAAAAAAACTTTCCTTAATTACGTATAACTAACTAACCAAAAAAAAATAATCATAAATTACTACTTATTTAGTCCAAGTGTTTGAACTAAATAAGTTAATGGGTTGTTTATTTAAATGACATAAAGATAAAAAAATAAAATAAAAGTTATTATTTTTTTCAAAACTATTTTTGGCCACCCACTTGTATCAAATAACGGCATAGTGCAGTCGTTGCCACAATCTCCCCCAGAATTACAATCTCTTTGTACTACTCGCAAATGAAATAATAAATGCAAAATAAAGGCATATAATTAAAGTAAAGTAAATATAAGTATTTTAAATAATTTAAAGTAAATATAAGCAAAGATTAAAGCAATTTTTTTTTATTATTTAAAGGATGTTAGCCTAGAAACAATTATTTGTTTCTACTTCAAAAACAAATAATTATTGTTTTGTAAAAATTCGAGTATTTATTTAATTTAATAAAGAATAATAAAAATAAATTCAAGACATAAATGTTAAAATATTAATTAAAATTATTAAATAATCTTTCATAACATTTATATTAATTTAATAATAATCTTTGATTTTATTTAATGATTTAATTGATTAATTAATTAATTTTAATTCAAAATTTAAAATGGTGGGAAATATCTTTTTATTTATAAAATAATTAACAAATAAACTCTAACATATCCTTCATCTATAATACATTATATGGTCTAAAAATCTACTCATGGTTTTTTTATAAAAATGCTTACAATTTCAGCTTACAACATATGTCTTTTGATAACTGATTTCCGTAAATATGTTTGTACTTAACCAGAAGTCAGACATTTTGAGGGTTTTGATTGGTTGAGATTTTGTTTATTGTTTTGCTCAAAATTACTATGCAACTCTTATATAGACATAAAGTTGTAAACTGGAATTTGAAATCGACTTGAAAGCTTTATTAATAGTTATGAACGGGTTTTTTTTTTTTTTACTTTATCATGCATGTTACCTCAAACATAAAACATTTTCAATTAAACTTTTTAATTTCAATATAACTTTTAACAATTACGCTTGAAATTATATGGTCAAATATCGTCACAACCCTAATTTAATAATCAAGGTTATGACTATTTGTAATTTTTTTTTTTAAAAAAAAAATCTTTTCAGCAAGTTTCGAATCTGGATTTTTTTTTTGTATGCCATAAAAATTCATTTAAAAAGTTTTGGGAATTTTTTAAAGCCGTTTTGACTGCCGTGCTAAAGCAGCCAGTTATCCAAAAAGAGAGAAGAAATATCAATAAGTAATTTTGATGTTTTATTTTGACGCAAAAGTTGCCAAACAACATGGTGCCCAACTAATTTCGTTCAATTTTTTCAAGAGTAATAATTCTATTTTAAAAAAACAGTGTTTATGTAGAACAGTTTCAACGTTTAAAATAGATATAAGTGGGGGGCGGTTCTACCTATATCTGTTTATATCAATGTTATATAGTTTAAACTCTTGTTTTCTTTTTGAAATGGTTTTTTTTAATAAAGCATCTTTCCAGAAGTAAACAAAAGGATTCACTAGAGCAGATAATTTTGCGAAAATAGACGCTACTTCCGTTAGCCATTTAGGTGTTTTAGCTGATGTAAAAGTTGATAAACAACCAATTATTGTATATGGTGTCCAACAAACTATAAATGAAAACACCATAAGTATAAACGATAAAAATGCTTTTTTTTCTTTTTCTTTGAACCTTTTTGCTTCAACATTTTCTTTTCCGTATGTCATACAAAAATATTTGTACTTTGTGCTGATTAGGTCCGCTGTAAAATAACATGAAGTTAAAATTATTGTAAAAGGGATAAAAAATATAAAGGCCATCAATAATATTAAATAAACTTTTTCGATTTTATTTCTAAGTGAAAAGTTAATTGAACATCGAGTGTTTGTATTTTCTAATGTGTATGAAGAAAATCCTAAAAGTGGTAAAACAGCCCAAGTAAATCCATAGACCCACGAGAGTATTGCAACTTTGGTAAATAATTTTTTATAGTTAATTTGATTATTATTACATCGTGTAGTTAGTAGCAAAAGTCTTGAAAGGGCTATTGCAGTGAGCGTTGCAATTGTTGTGAATGACGGAAAAGCAACAAAAAATGCTGATAGTTTACACAGTGTTGTAGCTTTTTGTAAATTTGGTTTAAAAAATATTACTGGTATGTATCCCGCAAAACTTTGCAGTAAATCACTCAAAGATAGGTTGATACACAGGATAACATAGTTGTTTTTTAGACGTTTTTTGTAAAGAAAGTATACGGAAACGATGTTTGTGATTATGGCACATAAAGCAATAGTTAAAAAAAAACTTCTCACGGCGTCCATATTTTTCTGAAAGTTAAAAATTAATTTGTTTGAAAAATTTATTACGAACGTAGCATTGTACGAATTTTGAATTCACACAACGCTACGTTCGTTTTTTGTTTTGATCGCAATTTCTTATTTTATTTGATTTGAACTTTATTGTTAGAATTTAGCATATTGCTAAAAGCTATATGTATAATCAGCATATTTCTAAAAGCTAATCAGTATAAAAATATCTGGTTAACAATATACTATTGATAATTTGTTTTCGTCATTGAAGTAATAAGGCATGCGAGATATGTTGCGGATCTCGTCGTAAAAAGACATTGAAAACGAGTTTTAGATAACGCGGCTTTTAAAAAATTGACTTTTAAATTGCTTTAGATTTGAAAAAAAAGTACATAATAGCTTAAGGTGGCTTTAAGAGTATCTTAAGAAATCACAAAGCAGAGCAGATATTGCAGAAGCAAATAGGATGTGCTTTAGGCTGCTTAAAGTTCCATAAATAATCTTTATTATTTATGGAACTTTAAAGTTTGTTTTTTCCGATATTTTCCGCGCAAAAATTCTCAATAATTTAATGCTGAAAAAAGAAATATCTTTTATGAAAGTTAATCCAAGAGATTTTATATATTAAAGTTAACTAAAAGCTATAGTGCGTATGAATTTTTTTAGTTTTTCAATTTTTTTATTGTTTTATGTTTTTTCTTCAAATTGTGAAAATGAATAAATTAAAATTGTTTTAAAAAATGTTTTAAAAAAAAGGTGTCACAAAAAATTGCAACCTTTATTAAAAATACGAGTATTAATAAAGAAGAATAAATAGATAAAATTTTAATTTTTTATTTTTCTTTTTGTCATAAAAATATGCTAGAAAAATATTGTTTTTTTTTTTTGAAAAAAAGAATAACTTTTTTTCTAAATTTTGTAGATGCTTAAAGTTCCATAAATAATCTTTATTATTTATGGAACTTTAAGCATCTACAAAATTTAGAAAAAAAGTTATTCTTTTTTTCAAAAAAAAAAAACAATATTTTTCTAGCATATTTTTATGACAAAAAGAAAAATAAAAAATTAAAACTTTATCTATTTATTCTTCTTTATTAATACTCGTATTTTTAATAAAGGTTGCAATTTTTTGTGACACCTTTTTTTTAAAACATTGTATACAAAAGGAAGTATTATAACTGTGAATAGGGTCATTTATGATGACACATAAATGGGTATTTGAATTCTTAGACTATTTATATAAATGATTAGTCTGAATTTGTTGACCTGCATTTAAGTTGCCAATTATTGATGTTAATTGATATTAGAATGATGCGCAATAAGCAAATGTAGTAGTAGCCTCCTTCCTCAACATTGTTGCTTATTGGACCAGGGGTGGATGTAGCACTTTTTGATGTTTGAGATAACTAACTTCCATACAGGGAACAAGTTCCAAATTTTTATATGTTTATTCTTATAAAAATTTGGAACTTAGTGGTGCTTTTAAAAAATAGTGGTGCTTTTAAAAAATTGCGATAATTGGAGCCTGGTAACAAAAAAGCGTATAATTTTTAATTGTTTTTTTTTTTGTGTGTATTTTAGAAATAGGTGAAGAACTTAATGTGCTTTTAGCATAAATTTTTAAACCAACCAATTGGTTGATACAACTAATAAACTTGAGAAAACTAATTAGACATTAATTTTTCTCTCAAACCTGAAAAATACTTTTAAAATACGAATATCCACAAAAAAAAATTGTTTTAAAACTAGAAACTAATTTCTTTAGCGAATTTCCAAAAAATAAAAATTTAAGTTTAAAAAGAGTATTCTAAAAATCGTTCCGTCAGGTACCATTTTTTTGTTATTTCAAAACTTTACTCATGATTATATAAAACGATATATAAAACGAAATAAAAATTTTTAGCTGCTTCTTCTTGAGTTATTTTTAAAGATGTGTCCTGGGTCCTCAGGTAATTACGTCTTTATTTACAATTTTAGAACTATTACATCTAAGCTACAAAAGTAGCTAGATATAATAGGCCAGATTAATAAAAAAGAGCAATTGTTTTTACTCAGCGTTTTTGAAGTAATTGCTCAACCTTATGTGAATAAAAATTTTAAGCAGTTACTCTTTTATTACGGGAAAGCTTTTACATTGAGCAATTGTTCACATATGTAAAAAGTGCGTGAATAAAAAAACTTTAATTCAAACAACGGAGAGCAGTTGCTTCTAATTTTACAAGTACCTATAATAGTTGCTTTTTGTTTTATTTTTGATAATCGGAAATTCATTTTATTATTTTGTTCTTTTAGTATTTTTTGTTAGCCTTAAACATGGAAGTTAGTAAATTTAGGTTAAATCACAGCGTAAATATCAACTTTGTTTTATTTTTGATAATCGGAAATTCATTTTATTATTTTGTTATTTTAGTATTGTTTGTTAGCCTTAAGCCCGTTCTCCATTCAGAACTTTTTGCACTTTGGAGAAGCGGAAAAGTTCTTTGAGCATGCGCAAACAGTTTTTTAAACCCGTTCTCGAATCAGAACTATTTGCGCATGCTCAAAGAACTTTTCCGCTCCTCCAAAGCGCAAAAAATTCTGAATGGAGAACGGGCTTTAAACATGGAAGTTAGTAAATTTAGGTTAAATCACAGCGTAAATATTTTAAGAGTGATGAAAAACAAGTTTAACAACCTTTCCATTAGGCCTGACCCGTTTGTATCTTCTCTGTGCTTCAAAAAGTACAAATTAGAAAATAGTAAAAACTATCAGCTGTAACTTAAGTTATAGTGTTTAGGTGGTGTACGTGTGAACATGGTATCAAACTTATCACTAAACACATGAAATGCTAATGGAATTAAATCATGTTTTTCAAAAAAAAACAAAAAGAAATAAACGTATTTTGGCACAATTATATCACTCATTTATATTACCTGTCACATAAACTATTCCAGCATTGCTTGGGGTTGTACAAATAAAAAATAAATTTAAACCTTTTTATTGTCAGCAGAAACATGTAGCACGTCTTATATATTTTAAAGACCGTTATACTCATGCCAAGCTTCTATTGTTTGAAATAAAAAGTTTTTAATTTATATGAACATATTTTTAATATTCTTTTTTTTATGTTCAAATGTAAAACTAATTCATCCCCGATTTCTTTATTATAATTTATATCTTAAAAAATAATTTATATTCATCAAAAGATAAAATTAAGTACATTTTACGAAATGATAATTTTACTAAGCAGCCTATTTTTCAAAGTCTTTTTAAATTTTGTATTGATTATTGCGGACTATTCTTATGGAATAAAATTTTAAAAACTTGAAAAAGTTTTAAAAACTTTAAAAAGTTTTAAAAAATTTTACTGAGAATTTTTTTCATCAAAGTAACTACTTTTCTTTTTTACGAAAGCTTAAAGAACTCATTTTTACAATCGAAGATTTAACAATATACTGCTGATATTTTTTAGTGATCTTCCTTTTACCCTCTTTTTAAAATGAATTTATAAAAATTATATATGTATCATTAACAACTGTAATTTACATATATAATAGATATAAATTATCTTGTATTTATAACGAAATATTTTAAGTTTCTTACTTTACTAACTTATTTTTTATCTTGTTAAAATCTTAATTTTAACACGAACATTTCTTAGCGGTACTTGACGACAAGACTATATATATATATATATATATATATATATATATATATATATATATATATATATATATATATATATATATATATATATATATATATATATATATATATATATATATATATATATATATATATATATATATATATATATACAGTTGCGTAGGAAGGTTTTTAAATGTTTGAAATAACCAACTTATAAACAACAAGGATATTTCAAATTTTTTTACGTTCATATGTATGACGAAAAGACTCTTAAAAAAAATATTACTATGATAGAATGGGAACAAGAAACCCTAAAGTCTTAGCCCCCAATGCCCCAAACGTGAGAGCAACAAGTTGATGAAAAATTTTTTGTACTATTTTTAACTAGATTTATATTCATCGTTAAATTTTTATTTTCATAGTAAAATATTTTAGTGTTCAAAAATTATATATATATATATATATATATATATATATATATATATATATATATATATATATATATATATATATATATATATATATATATATATATATATATATATATATATATATATATATATATATATATATATAAATATATATATATATATATATATATATATATATATATATATATATATGTATATATGTATATATATAAAGGATATGTATATATTTTGTATATACATATCCTTTATATATATATAAAGGATATGTATATATAAAATCTTTAAAAAGTATAAGTATATTAAAATCTTTTTTGTTTTCGTAAATTCAAAATTGGTATAAAAAACCTTACCAATATAAGCATTTTAAGTAAAATATTACTATGATAGAATGGGAACAAGAAACCCTAAAGTCTTAGCCCCCAATGCCCCAAACGTGAGAGCAACAAGTCAAATAAAATTTCTCAACTACTAAGGATATTTTATTGTCTTGACACTATTAGTAATGTTATCTTTGAAAAATATTAATAAAGTCGACTAAATAAAAAGGTTATGCGAATAAAACGACAGCGAACAACAAATATGTTGTTTAACAAATTATATCTAAATAAAACTCGTATAAAACTCATAGAAATCGTACAGTAATTTGAGCAATCCTACCTATGTAGTAACTCAGAATGTTACCAATCACTGTTATAATTTCCTTATTCAGCATTTGTACCATAACTATGTAAAAAATTACTAATTTATGTTTAAGATTATATGATTTTTATTAAAAATAACTATTTTGCTAAGCACTACTATTATTTTGTCCACAACTTTATATATCAAGATTGAATATTTTTGATGATATTATTTAAATTGTTTTTTCAAATTTAATGGGCATTTAAACTTTTAATTAAACTTTTTTTACAAAAAAAAAAAGAAAAACAAAGACTAAATTTAAACGCTTTTTCGACTTTTAATAATTCTATAATGAACGTCGAATAAAACGGTTGAATCTCGACGTTTAATAGAGGTTTGCTCTAAACGTTATTCTGGA